GGGCATAGAGGACCTACAATAATGTACAGTATTTGAAAAATAATGTGTTTTTTGAACATTAAAGCATGTCAACATATTCTGTTACACCGAATACACAAAATAATTATATTTAAAATAGCATCATATTACCCCTTTAATCAATAACTGGATTTATAACATTTTAATTGAGAATACAATATTTAAATAACAATTTTATCTCGAGATAAAATACCAGAATTGCCATTGTGTGTTTACCAAACAATGTTTCCTTAGTTTTTATTTGTTGAAATAATCTAAATTTCATTTAATCAACTATTGCTCTTTACATGTCAATCTACGCACTTTATAATTTATTTCTAGTTCAAACAGTCAGTGATGATAATCATCCAGAATTCGTTTTATGCTTAGTTTCTGGTTGATGCACAAGAACAATCGGCAATATTAAAGACCATAAAATGTATAGTTTGAGTAAAATTTAAATGAAGAGAAAGATGAGTAATTCTATGTACCCTGATGGTGCTGTTGAGGTCCTCAGTTACTTTGCGATTGATTAGCAAAGCATCTGTATAGTCAGCGATGAAGTCTCCAGCCTCCACTTCCACCTGACCTTGCTGTAGACCGATCTGCACCATACTGTCTAGTCGAAACCTCATCTTGTCTTCACAGAGGCTAGGACAATATTAGGATTGAAATTATTTGGTCAGAGATACTCAGTAACATCCTATTTCCAATGCGCAGTGATATCCTTAATTTTTATAACCAACTGTTCTTCTCACCTATTAAGTTCATCAATGAGATTTTTTATTTCAAGTTTAGCTTTCTCGTCCTCGTCTGTTCTCCTCTGAAGAAAAGCCTGCATCTCTGCCAAGGTCAATGCCTTTAGTTTGACCTACCGGAGTTAAATGTTAAAACTATTCTCAGGCAGTTTTAGATTTTGCATTTTGAGGAACATGGCGTAAGATGTGATTTGGGGGACTTCTAGCACCTTTGCATCCTGTCTGCCCATTCTCACCTTTTGTTCACTTTCCACTTTGGCCCGTCTAGCCAGGCAAAACCTCTCCCACACAACTGGATCTAATCCTTCTGGCATGTTCTGTGGTGTGTCCAACTCTTCCATGACCTTCATCATCAGAGAGAGTCCATCAGATGGTGCTGTTCCTAATAGCGCCCCCTCTTTGAACGGGTTATTTTCAGTCTGTGTTTTCATCCTCTGAACCCTGTCAAACAACACTCTTACTGTTTTTAAAGATAACTGGACAAGCACATGTCTTATGAAGTTGCAAGTCCTCTGAAATTATACCTTGGTCTGCGTTTGTAAAGCTTATAGAGCTGGTCAATTATGTGTCCAGGGACGTCAAAAATCTCTTTGCGTAAACCTTTGTCAAGAAGCTTAAAAAAAGGCAAATGATTTATAAGACTTTCTTGGTGAGAACATTATGGATATGCATATGCATCATATATTCATAATCTTACTTTTTCCTCAGCGACTGTGTTATCATACTCCTCTCTAGACTCATCAACAATCTCCTTGTGTTTTTTCAATTCCTCCCCTATTTCATTCTGACAGGAAAGAAAGGTGAATCACACTTGAACATGTGCAAAACAGTCCGTCTCACAGGAACGGATTAGCGTGCCACACAAGTTTGTTCTTGCATGAAATTTTTGTCTCTCATCATCAGGAACATCATAATAGTCTCAAGTTATAACTGCTCATTTCTGACGTTATACAGAGTTACTGTGAACAGACAACAGCAGGGCTGAACAAAAGATAAGAGACAGAATATCTATAGATCACCTTTACAATTTGTGCCTTTTCAAGTTTAAGGCTCAACTGTTTCTCTCTGCTTAGGATCTCTTCTTCGATTTGAATGGAGTGAACCAGGTTAGCAATCTTGAGCTCCTCCTGAAGGATAAAAACTCACAATCTAAAGTAGTAGATGCACAGTTACTGTTACGTAACTACAGTGTTTGCAAGTCATGCGATTGCACACAATAGGCCCCTGAAAAGGTGACATGCAAAAATGCAATGATGTACTGTATCAGCTTACTTGGTATATGACCATCTCTGATTTCACCTTCCTTTCAAACAGCTTTGTGAGTTTTTCATCAAACATCTGGGTAGCCTCTTTGATAGATGTCAGCAGTTTCTTCATTTCTGTCTCTAGTGTCTAGAGAAACAGGCAAAGTGGTCTACAGTGTTAAAATGATTTTAAATGGAAGGGAGTGATTGCGAATAATTCACCCAAAAATGCAGATTTGACATCAATGATGCCAAGCACCCATTGGTTTTTGCATTTACTGTGACAGACTTTGAGATGGCAACTTTGAATATACCTAACTGCAAATAAGATTTTTTTTAAGTTATTGGATGGTTTCAGATTATTTATAATATAGTATATGTGCTATATGGAACACATTTTTATCATTTTTGAAGCCTGACAGTTAAAACCTACAGAATTTTGGATGAAGTATCCCTGTTAGTTGTGATCAAAGTCATACCTTTCTGTATTTCTCTTTCTCCTCACTGAGCTCTTTTGCTTTTTTTCAAACTCTTTGAAGCTCTTTCTCTCTTCTTCTGTCCATTGTACCTCAGGTTTAGACATGAACTCGGGCTGAGGTACTTCCTGTAAGTTAAGCATATCTTAAATGTTACTTTCCCCTGCCTTTATCTTCTTTTTGGTAAATAAGTTTTTGCATTCTAGTAAGATTAATTCTTCTTCCACCTCATCATCCTCAGCATGTCCTCTTTTTTAAGTTCCAGAACTCCACCCATCATAACACTGAGTGCTTGATCTCTCATGTTGTCAGACTGCAATGGAAAATTTGTTATCATCTACAGCATGAGACAAACTGAAATAGCCACATTACAGTTTTTGCCAATATAAGCCAGTTTTCATATTTCAGTTTAATGTATTATACTACACTGCTGTTCAAATGTTTGGGGTTGGTAAGATTGGTAAGACATTACAATTTAAAATAATTTGTCTATTTTAATATATTTTAAAATGTAACATATTCCATAATGGGAAAGCTGAATTTTCAGCAGTCATTACTCCAGTCTTCAGTGTGACATGATCCTTCAGAAATCATTCTCATATACTGATTTGGTGCTCATGAAACATTTCTTATTATTCATTTTGAAAACAGTTGTGCTGCTTTATTGTTGAAACCATGATAAATTTTTTTCTTTAATGAATAGCAAGTTCAAAGAACAGCATTTATTTGAAATAGAAGTTTTTTGTAACAATGTAAATGTCTTTACTGTCCATTTCTGATCAATTTAATGCATTCTTGCTGATAAAACATGTACATTATATTTATTTCTTAAAAAATGACCCCAAACTTTTGAATGAAAGAGTATAAATTTATAAAATAAACATTTTTCATATGAATATATAATTACTAGATTCAAAATTCAAAATTCATGGATGAATAGAATATTATATTTTTATAAAAGTAAACTGTTGTGTTAAACATGGATTACGATATGAAAATAAGTAATTAATTAACTGTTAAAAGCACATCTGTTGTGAGGTACAGTAATATTATACCTTGGCTGCAAGCCTTTGCCGTTCATCTTCCTCTCTTAGCTTTTCTTTTTCTTTCTGCTCAGGGGTGAGGTATTTCTCAATTTTCTTGATCTAAAAACACACATAGATTCATTTGTGAGGCCCATTGTCCACAATAATACACAATAATAAATCAGTGTTTGCCATAATTACACAAATGAAACAATACAAAAACTATATTCAGTTTGAAAGAAATAAAATGGGTCTACGTTCAGACTTGTTAGACAACACATCTGGTGAGTTGGACTAGTAAAGGTAAGATAAATTCTGGATTAACCCTAGATTTTTTAAAATCTTAAATAGAGACTGCCTGTTAGCTCTGAGTCGGTCACAGTAAGAGCTCTCTCAGGACACTCATTATCTGTGAGATTAGGCTCCCACAGGGTCTCACTGACGTCTAGCTCCATCATAATCTCAAGAGATACGCTTGTTCTTCTCCTTAAGACGGTTGATTTCCTGTTCCTTCTGCTTGTAAACTGCCTCAAATTCTTTGTTGAATGTACTCTTCACTTTGTAGATAGCGTCCTTCATAAAACAACCATGAAATGTAACAAATGAATAGTAGTAGACTCTTATGACCCCCCCCTTTTATTTTTTTTATTTTTTTTACATTTTCTGTACTCAAAAGGGGATGCCAGCACACAAGTAAATATAATAAAACATCGAGTTCAATTATCAAGTATAAACAACAAGAGTCATCACCTTTAGCAAGGTGATTTGGTTGATTTTCTGCTCTCTGATGTGTAAATTGAACTGGCTGTAGAGAGAAGGATTGACGCCTCCATTTAGAGCACTCAGACTGCCAGTCAGAGCAGGACTCTATGTATTACTGTCCTCTGCCTCCTCTTCCTCTTTGTCTCCAGAGATTGTGCTTAAAATCATCTCTTGAAGCTATGAAGAATATGTATATTATTTGAGTCAAATTTTGTGAAATAACAGAAACAAACACTGTGTCATGGTATGCTGCTATATGTTCAGTATGAGGCTTTGGTTGCTATGGAGGAATCCATTCCAACAGCTGACTCATTATTGTTTGAGTAACACACTGTACACTTATTTGTGAATCTTCCTGTTCAATCTGCCTCATGGTCTCAACCCTCTGAAGC